GCCATAACAAAAAAGTCAAGTCTTGGGACTTCAATGCAGGAGACTTGGTCCTGAAAAGGAAAGTGGGAATCATCCCAAAATTGGAACCTCCATGGGAAGGGCCATACAGAATTACGGAAGTCCTAGGAATGGGGACATACAGACTCGAGAAACTCATTGAAAGGCGAGTAGATAAGCCTTGGAATGCAACCTACTTAAAGAGGTATTACCACTGAAACGATCAAAGAAGGCCCTAAGCCACTATCTTTCTTCTTTTTTGTCTCTTTCTTTTCCCCTTACTCTTTGAGTAAGGATAATGTAATGACGACAATACCAGCCACTGAAAGGCCCAAGAGGCAACTAACGATTTCAGCAAATCAGTTTTCGCCATGTTTATTTCGATCGCACGACACTTAGAAAATTTTCACCAAGAGTTAAGTGGCAAGTGGCACTACAGGCTAATCGCTATACACTTACAAAAATTTCACAAAAGTTAAGTGGCAAGTGGCACTACAGGCCGATCGCCAGACACTAAATTTTTTACAAAAAGTTAAGAGGCAAGTGGCACTATAGACCGATTGTTAGACATTTAGAAAATTTTCACAAAGTTAAGTGGCAAGTGGCACTATAGGCCGATCGCCAGACACTTGGAAAATTTTCACAAAAGTTAAGTGGCACTCGCTAGACACTTCGAAAATTTTCACAAAGTCAAGTAGCAAGTGGCACTACAGGTTGATCGCCAGGCAGTTGAAATTTTTTCACAAAAGTTATAAGTGGCAATTGGCACTACAGGCCGATCACCAGACACTTAGAAAATTTTCACAAAGTTAAGTGGCAAGTGGCACTACAAGCCGTTCGCCACACTTGGAAAATTTTCACAAAAAGTCAAGTGGCAAGTGGCACTACAGGCCGATCGCCAGACACTTAGAAATTTTTTATTTGTACTAGTGAATAACAGTAGAAAGATCGTAAATAAAATAACATTAACATGTTTCAATGCCATGGTCAAAAGTATTACAAAAATTGCCCTGAGCCGAATCTTTACAAAAAAAAAAAAAAAATTGAGAAAAGGAAGTGCATGACCTAAAAGCTAGACAACATTCTCATTGCCATCCTGGTTGTCCTCATGAGGAGGAGACTCCAGATCCACCACATTCTCAGGTTAAGCTAAGGCTTGACCGTTAGAGGCCAGACCGGATACCACCTCAGCATGCATAACAAAGATCCCCAAAGCACAATTGGCAAGCTGAGGAGTAAGGACAGGAGGAATGTTCATAGAAGTTGCAATATCCTTGCACTCTCTGAAGACAAGCTCAGCATGATCAGGAGCAGGATCGGGGTAGATGCCCGAAGGATCGATCTGTAAGCCATGATCGTAGTCGTCCGAATCCTCATATGACTTTCCATGTCCTTCGGGAGGAGAGCAATCGGTAAACCCATCTCTGTATCCTTGAGCATATCTGATGGCCCCAGCTCGAGAAACGAGCATGGAGAGCCTTAACACCACCCTCCACTCTGCTCATCACGCCTAGCAAGGCAGCCCGATCATCAGAAGCCTTCCTCTCTACAGCAATCCGAGTGGATCGCTCATCTTCAAGAGCACCCTAAAGGTTGCCCTTTTCCTTCTCCAGGTTGGAACGTTTGATCTCTGACTTCTTCGGCTGAGCCTTAGTCTTTGTTAGATCAGCATCCAACTTCTTGCAGCCAATGATCAGCTATCTCAAAGGCCTCTGCACAGTAGCTATTCCAAACAGGGTCTGCATAGCCAGAAGAGGCATCTATTCCACTTAAGAGTATAAACAGAACAAGCATAGAAATACCGCAAGGAAAAAATAAGACATCAAAACAAAGTTACCTCCATCGCCGAGAGAGGGAACTGAGAAAACATTTCCCTCCGGGATAAATCCCTCTGCACCTGAACATCATGGGGGGTCCACATGTGCTGATAAAAGGCCAGAGCCGTTGACCCGTGTTTGAACATGGTATCATTAACAGTAACTAGAGGCCTATCCGTTCTGATCAGTTTTGGGATCTATGGGGCAACCGTAACAGGACCGTGGGCAGCCCTGGAGGAAGACCCAACGGCCCCACCGGCTGTACCAGTTCGAACAGCTGCCCCAGTCTGACTGGCTGGGCTTTCCGAACGAACGATCCTCTGCCTTTGGGCCAATGGGACATCATCATGAATCTTATTATTCGCCTCAGAGGACGGCCTTTTCCCTCTGGATCTTTCTTGAGCGGTCAGCTGGTGCTGAATTGAGCCAGTTTGACTAGCAGCAGCAACCTGACTAAGTCGCGGATAACGCCTGTTCCTGCTGAACGATGGCATCTGTAACTCATCCCTGCAAATTGCCTCAAAGGAAATGTTATCGAGAGACTCCGAAGTCAGTAGTCCTGGGGTCGAAGGGACACTGCACCACACGTTCTGTTCCAAATAGCGAAGCCTGGCCCTGCAAATGCTATAGTCCAGAAGGTTATATGGAACATTAAGGTGATAACAGACAAATGAGCAGAAGCGGGGAAGGCAGATTTCACAAATGCACTCGCTCTTATGTTTTTTATACTTGACATGTAGGGGAACAGAACACTTATTAAAGTCAATAGGGATCGGATAGCAATTGGAAGATGCGACCTTCCAATCCCCCCTAACAGCTATGATATTCTTTTTCCAACCGCCGACTCAGGATTGCCATTGCAGAACGCTCGATCAGGAATAGGAAAAAGATGATAGTACATCTCAATATGGCAGATCCTGCACATTTTATAGCAGAAAAGGAGATCAAGGATGGTCAGATCCAGATTTCTTTGTTGGTTAAGAAGCATGAGAACGGACATAATCCTAAAGAAATTAGTATTTACTTGATATGGCGAGAGATTTAACTTATTAAGAACGACGTGGAAGAAGGGGTGTAACGGAAACCTAATTACGTTCAAATGAAGGGCGGAGAAGAGGATCTCCCCTTCCGCTAGACCGGCACCAGTTTTAATGTTGACATTCCTTGGACAGTGTCTAAGATTGACATCCAACGGGATCTCACACAGGGGACGAAGGACGTCGACGTCAAGTACCATGGTGGATATAACAAGGAAAACTCAACAGAAAGGGAAAAGGAAAAGACAGAAAAATAAAGGGTAAAAATTTCCGGAAACAAAAGAGGGAACAAGACTGACCTTGAAAAAACGGAGAAGAAGAGACGCGAAAGCAGAAGAGCTCGCCACCAGGAAAGCAACAACCTCACCGGAGAGAAATCCTTTCGACCGGAGACGGGAAAGAAGAAGAGAGCCAGAGATGAAAGCAACCAAGCAAAGGAAAGAGATCAACCCGGATCACACTTATAAATGAGATCTAGCTCGGAGAACGAGGGAACATAGTAGTCAATACAATGATGACATCACGAAGACCAAGATCTGGGAAGACAAGTCGGCAGTTTGTATTTCCCCCACATCATTTCACCAAGCCGTCATTTGCATAGATTTCAATATCATTAATCTCTCCCTAATTAAAATAGAGCAAGATTAGGGGGCAGGTGAAAGGGCAAAAATAGCCCCAACACCATTACCAATAGAGGGCCTCCACGTGTAATCAAGCAGGGTCACATTCAAATGGCCAATTGAGCCGAAAGAATCAAAAGGCCCAAGTAATAAACGAATGGAAGATTGGGCTAGCCCGAAATCAGAGACACGGCCCATCAGTCCAGCAGCTCGCACGACATGCTTCCAAAGTAGGTCAATGAAATGGGCATATAAATATAGAAAGATAAGGAAAGAGGAGGCAGAGTGTTTGGTGAAAGAGAAAAACTTTCCATCAATAGAAAGAGAATTTTCTTGCATCTACAACTACAACCCCCTTTTCCAAAAACTCGGATTGTGGTAAAAATAAGAAAAATTAAATCAAAATTTTAACTTACACATCCTTAAACTTGAACCACTTTTTTTTTCGGTTATACTCACATTCCAAAGTTCTTTAGGGATCATCCTGCACACGAACACCAAGGTCTTCATATATATATATTTTACTTATCAAAAATAAAAATAAAAAATTTCAACCACATATTGGTACGGTACCATAAATAACATGCATTTTATAGAACATAAATCTAGAGTTTTCTTTATTGACACTAAAATAATAATAATAATAATATCAAGGTCTCTAGCATAGGAAATTTCCAGGCATTCATAAAAATTCAAACTTTAAGGGAAAATGCTGCTGCTCCCAAATTAACCACAAGTAACAATACTCATTTATTGCATGTTTTGAACAAAATAATAATAATAACAATAAAACTTCAGCAGACACGAGGACGCATCTTCATGAAAATTTAATTCCAATGCCCACAATAGCGTTAGATTGGCTCCCTGAAGAAAAAAAGGTTTTTTCTTATGTTAGTGTGGACTAAAGTTCGATGGTTATTTTCATGAAATCAAGAAAATAAATTCCCTATCGGCCCATCAAGCAGTAATTTAGCATGTTGGGCTACTTATGCTTAATTGATCTTTGCATCAACAATTTCTCAATGTTAAATGGGTCAGGATATAGCTGGTAAGTGGCAGATCTCCTTTGTTGGAACATTAGGACATGGTGCCATGAGTTGACCCTTGTGAAAATAATATATTTGCTATTTTTAAGTGTATCAAGGAAGTTCTTTTAACATGTGGTCTTTTGTGGTTTTTCTTTGTCTGAATCCTTTTGAGACTACCAGTTTATATTGTACCATACATATTTGTTTATTATACGGAATTATAATTGTATCTGTAATTATATGCTTGTTTCATGATGCTACGTTCTGCCAATTACGGTTACTTCTCTAGGAGAGGGTCAACAAACACAGCTGTCTGATATGTTTTGCTTACGATACTTCATCTGCATATTTTGCAGATTAAGCATAATACTTCTTCATAGGAGCTTCATGCTCTTCTAAGATCATTTTTTTTTTTTCTGTTAATCTGGTTAATATTTGCAGTATGAGTCTTGCAAAATTTAAATTGCATTCTTTTTAAGCTTGTGAATTTTTGGGATGCAGATAAACCTCCAATTGAAGAACTTTATCAATTTTTGGAGTTTCAACTTCCAAGGCAGTGGGCACCAGTATTTGGTGAGCTTGCTGTTGGTCCTGAGAGGAAGCAGCAGGGTGGTGCATCTTTACAGTTCAGCTTTATGGGTCCCAAGCTCTATGTGAACACAATTCCGGTAATGCTCCCAAGGGACTAATTAGTTCTTTTCTGATGGGGGTAATATGTTCCTTGATGAAGAAGAGAGGAATTGATATTCATGGATCATATTTGAACTCACTAGTCTTAATGCTTACGGGTTTTACCATTCTTGAGTTTTGAGATCTTTGTTGGTCTTCTTCCTTAAAGTTAAAATTCTCCAATCAGGAGTGAAGATGAAAGTAATGTGGTTGATTGAAGCGAAGTGTTTAGTATTTACTGGGGAAAAAAACGGACGTTTTCTATAGGTTTCCACCTGCTTGGTTTAAAATAACATTCTGACTCGAGGCAAGTTCCTTGAGCTGTTGAGCTGATTGATATAAGTGGAAACACTCCACACCCTCCCAGCACACTTCTTGTCTTTTCTTTCAAACAAACCCTGAGCCCTTTTTCATTTCAAAAACCCTAAAATTTTGGTCTGGTAATGTATTAGTTCTGTGCCAGACTGCTAGACCATCCTATTTTTCCTTGTAGATTAGCAAATGCGTTTTAATCTCTGTTAGATCTGGCCTGTCGTAAGGATCAACAGGATTTAGATTTTGTTTCAACATGGTTCTGCTTAACCAGAAAACAGTATTGCAGGTTTTATTGTTTAAAAAATGTGTGATTTTGTATAAAATCTTGAGATTATGCAGCTACCCGTGTGTGTGTGTGTGTGTGTGTGTGTGTGTATAGGCGTACACAATTTCCACCACAGCTTATTGCTTTACTACATCAACTAGAGAGATGCATGTCCAAAGCAACGAAGTTTCATATGATTATTATATTATTCTAATTATTAATTCCTTGACAGGTAGATGTGGGTAAGAGGCCGGTTACTGGACTTCGACTTTACTTGGAGGGAAAAAGAAGCAACTGCTTGGCTATCCATTTGCAGCACCTTTCCTCTCTACCTAAAAGCTTCCAACTTCAGGATGAACTAAATGGAAACTCCCGTAACTCTTATGACCGCAGGTACTATGAAAAGGTCCATTGGAAGAGCTTTTCTCATGTATGCACTGCCCCTGTCGAATCAGATGAGGATCTGTCCATTGTTACTGGGGCCCAATTTGAAGTCAGGGAGTCTGGTCTGAGAAAAGTTCTCTTCTTAGGCCTTCAATTCTCCAAAGTTACTGGTGCCATAGCAGTGAAGAGACCTGAATGGGATGGTTCTCCCGTCGTGACCCAAAAATCTGGACTTATCTCCACCTTGATCAGCTCACATCTTTCAACGAGCCAGAAACCCGCGCCACAGCCAGCTGATGTGAACATCAATTCTGCTGTATACCCAGGCGGCCCACCGGTGCCAGCACAGACGCCTAAACTTCTTAGGTTTATTGATACGACAGAGATGACAAGGGGACCACAGGACCCACCCGGGTACTGGGTCGTTTCTGGGGCAAGACTGAATGTTGATAGGGGGAAGATATCACTGCGTGTCAAGTACTCACTCTTAACTATGGTTTTACCTGATGAAGAGGTGCCATTGCAGTCCTAGAAAGCTATCGGTCAGTATAAATTGAAGGAAGGATGATAAATACTACTACAGAGAGAAAGCGGGTTGGTGGTAATTGTTTCTGATGTGAAAAGAAGCAAATTTGTCCTTTTACAACTTGTGGAGGAGTTTATCAAGATATATGGAAGACGAGAATTCGTGGGGATTTGCGGAGGTCATTGTACATTAAATTTGTCATGTGAATGCTTTATTTGTTTGTACATTTTCATGCTGTTGCACATGTTGTGGTTACTTGTAATTTGGTTTTTGTCATAGATGTGGTCATTTGGATCTAAGGAATTCTTTCACTCTGCAAATTAAAGATTCAGTGGCCGGCCGTTGTTGATTAGGCAAGAAGGGTTGCACTGTCTGCGTGTCAGTAATCTTGGTGCCTGCCATCTATTATAGTTTTACTTCACTAGGTTGGCCGCTGGTGAGGTGGTTGAGATAATATGCCGCCAAATTTATACCCACCTAGGCTTGCATGAATATTTTCCTTTTAACAAGTCAATGGGAGGCAAAAGCCGTACGTTCAAAAATCATTTCGTGAGTGTGTGTGAGAGAGAGAGAGAGAGAGAGATCCAACCTCTTAATTGTTCCGTACCTTAGGGATGGCAACATGACGGAGTTAGGATGGGTTTGATTAAAGATCTATTCCGTTTTGTTACAAAATTCGTCATATCAATTTCGTCCTAATTTCATGACGGGTTTGTAATTAATATACCATTTCCGCTCATACTCCAGTAGACAAAGTACTGACTCTACTTTTGTGTACTCTATTTAATTATAAGGGCGGGGTGGGTTATGTCCCTTTTACTATGTAGTTAAAAAATATAAAAAAAAAAAAAAAAAAAACCTAACCCAATGTGCTCAAATTGGGTTGATAAATAAGCAGCTTCAATTTTTAAAGGGCTTAAAATCATTAAACCTCAAAACTATAATTTTTTTTATCATAAAACTCTAATTTGTTTGTAAAAATCCTAACAGTATTATAAAGTTATCATTTTGCCCCAATAACAGAGGAAATTGCCATTCTTATTACTGTTTGCTTGGGCAAGGTAATGGGGGTAATGGCCGACAGTAACAGGGATCGAAGCACCAAAATGAGCCCATTTTGTTTGTAGTTTTGTATTGTTTAATGTATTAAATATACCATAATTAAATAATACAGAATAGTAACTTAACGGCAAAAGGAGATTTAACGGACCACAAACTATAAAATAATGGATTAAGTGTATTAAACCCTCTTGAACTATGAGGCAATTGCAACAAACCCCCTGATTTAAAATATACCTCCCTGAATTATGAGGCAGTTGCAAAAAACCCCCACTTAAGTACACGTTAAACAATTGTTAACAGAAAGTTGAAATTACTAATTTGTCCGTAAATTAAATGACATCCTTTTTTGTGCTATCCAACTTCAGTTCGTACACACACACACATACATATATATTCAAGTATGGTTATTTTGTGCCAGTTTGTTGTGTTGTTCATTTCCTGATTTCTTATCCTAGTGAACTAAGCAAAGCCTAAAACCTTAATTAATTGTTAGTTTTGAATATGATACACAATAACGAGCAATATGAACTCAATTGAATCATCCGTCACCTACTAGTTTTGAATATAATAATATGAACTCAATTGAATCATCCGTCACGTACAAGGCTGCAATACAAATCAATCACCTACAATACTCCATAGCAGTTACATATATCCATGGCCAGCAATACAACCAATCACAATATGAACATATGAGCATATAACTTCAAATGCATCCGTCACCAACAATTCAACCAATCACAATCCAAAAAATCAAACCCAAAAATAACCAAAAGCCCACTATTTTCCAGTTGCTTTCATCAGATAATTCAGTGACAAACCCAACCCCGCACTAATCCTTATCGAATAAAGGGTTTTAGAGACGGAGCGATTTCTCCAATACTTGCAACAATGCCGATCGCACTATCTGATTGCCAAAGAGGAGACTATTGTAACCAAACCGTTGCAGTGAGATTGGTCGGGATTTTAGCTTTCTCAATTGAGAACTAATTGTGGGCAGAGCTGAAACAAATTGCAAGTAGATAGAGAGATTAGTTAGGGCTTGTTTGGCTCAACGAAGGTGGGAGGAGATATATATATATATACATATGGAGGGTTTGTACATAAGGGTCATTTTTGGCAATCTAAATTTGTGCCAAGTGAGTGTATCTCACGTGCCTTGCTCTAACGTTAAATTTGGACGGCCATTTAACGGTTTGGGTTTTTTTTTGTAACAAATGGGATAATTTAGGGAGTCAAGTGACAATCGGATAGTTCAGGGAGATTTATTGAAAAAGAGAAGAGAGTTTAGGGGGTTTAGTGCATTTAACCCTAAAATAATATCACATGTTCATATAATAATAATAAATTAATTACATGTTGACAATATAATTAAATTAAATAATACAATTTGTTAATAGAATAATATATAATAAAGTAAACTGATAGGACGGTGAATAGTAAAACACTCTGTGCCTTCATTTTTTCCCGCCCTTTATTTGCAATTTTCGGCGACTCACACATTATATATTCTAACTTTGTTTATAATTTCTAACAAACTATAGCAACACATCTCTCTATCTCCCTCCCTAGAATTTTTTGGCCAGATCGATCGTTCTTTGGAGAGAGACATTTGTGTTTGTTGTCTTCAAAACCCTTCTTTCAGGTAGTAATTGGTTTTAGATTCTCATATTTTAGATTACTAAAAATTTGTATAATTAATTGGATGCGTCATATTTTTCAGGGGTTAAGTGTTAAAAAAAACTCCTCATACAGTGTTTTTATAAAACTAATCCATATTTTTTGAAAATGTGCATGTTATACCATAAAATTCAAAAAAAAGTACAAATAAGCCCCTCTGACCACTTTTTGACAAAAACTAAATATGAAAGTCTTATTTTATCCTTTTGATTCCCATTTTGCCCCACACCCATATGTGCATATACTCCCCTATACCCCTCTCTCCTCTCTCTCTCTCTCTCTCTCTCTCTCTCTCTCTCTCTCTCTCAGGTTAGGGTTTGCTGGGATGAGGCTTTCTGTGGTTTCTAGCATATTCTTCCTCGTACCTAAGCTTAGTGTCACGAAGTGATTCCTAAGACGCTTGGAGGATGGAAGACACGCATGCTGATTGGCAAAGAGCAGAGTTTGACTGGGAATGGTTCCAGGGAAGGGGCGTGCAGGACCACAGGATGGTACCTTTTCAGAGTTCAGGCAGGTCGACTCGGTTCAGTTCGAGGTGCTTGTCGCTAGTCTTGGACTTGACTATGAAGAAGGGAGTTGGCCATCCCTGCACAAACTGGTCGGGAGCTGGAGCCGTTCCCCTGACGAGGCCATGGCAGGCCGAAACCAGTCAGCATGTATCCTTGGGAGGGCAGGTCGTGGTGGCTGACCAGGGCGCTTGCGCGAGCTGAAGCAACGCCTTGGTGCCGCACGGGCCGTGCCGCTGCGCCAAATCTCTAGGCCCGTGACAAATGGTATCAGAGCAGGACTTGGGGAATAGCACGGTGGGGTGCCCCCTTGTCGGTCCGGGAGGGGTCAGAGAATGAAGACGGTGCATTAAAGTTGCGTCGATGTGGAGGAATCAATGCAGTTGGGGGGGAGAGCCTCCATCTCCCCAGGAAGAGGCGTCCGTTGAAGTTGCGCATTGAAGGGCCGGAGGGCCGCGCGCACCAAAGTTCGTGCTTAGTCCTTGGGTGATGCAAACCATGGTGAAGGGCGAGCACCAAGTCGGCAGAAGGCCATTGCTTGCTCGGGATGTCGCGGAGGCGGCATGACGGAGAAGAGTCACGTCCTTGAGGAGTGGACGTCCCCTTGGTCCGAGGCCTATCATTGGGCGAGTGCAGTGCAGGGAGCTGCACAAGGAAGCGATGGTGGGAAGGCGAGCATACCGCATGGAGGCAGACTTTGGAAGGGAGTGGACGCAGTGGTGAAGCGCCGCACTGCGACGAGGACGTCACAGGATTTGGGTGGGGGAGAATGTCACGAAGTGATTCCTAAGACGCTTGGAGGATGGAAGACACGCATGCTGATTGGCAAAGAGCAGAGTTTGACTGGGAATGGTTCCAGGGAAGGGGCGTGCAGGACCACAGGATGGTACCTTTTCAGAGTTCAGGCAGGTCGACTCGGTTCAGTTCGAGGTGCTTGTCGCTAGTCTTGGACTTGACTATGAAGAAGGGAGTTGGCCATCCCTGCACAAACTGGTCGGGAGCTGGAGCCGTTCCCCTGACGAGGCCATGGCAGGCTGAAACCAGTCAGCATGTATCCTTGGGAGGGCAGGTCGTGGTGGCTGACCAGGGCGCTTGCGCGAGCTGAAGCAACGCCTTGGTGCCGCACGGGCCGTGCCGCTGCGCCAAATCTCTAGGCCCGTGACATTAGGCTCAGTTTGGTAGAGTGGAAATGGGAGGAAAGGGAAGGGAAGGTGATGGAGGGTGATTAAAAAATTGTGTTTGGGTAAAATGGATGGAAGGAAAGGAAAGGAGAGGGAAGGGTTTGGTGACGGCGGGCCAGCGGCTGAAGCTTGCGAACGGCGAACCCGAACTGACACAACGGCGATGGAAACTGAAAGATATGGGTTTTGATTTTCTGAACAATCTGAAATGATATACCGATACGGGTTTTGAATTTTTGATTCTTGCAGACAGAAAGATAAACTGAAATATATGGGTTTGGGTTTTGAACTTTTGATTCTTGTAGTGCAGAGAGAGAGATAGAGAGAGAGAGGGCAAGTTCAGAGTTGAGAATGAGAATAGAGATGGAGGTGAGATTGGGGAGGCTGAAATGATTTGCCTTAAATTTTTTTTTTTTTTCTATTCTTGTGGCCCATCAAGTATAGGAGATTATATATATATATATATATATATATATATATATAATAGAGATGGAGGCGAGATTGGAAAGGCTGAAATGATATGCCCTAATTTTTTTTTTTTTTTTTTTCTTTTCTTGTGCAGGTATAGGAGACTATATATATATATATATATATATTTAAAAAAATATATATATAAAAGGGTATAATAGTCAATTTATTAAAATAATTCCCCTTCTTTTCTTTCCCTTTCTTTTCCTTCATTAACCAACCAAATACGATAAGGGGATAAAATTATCATTCCCTTCCTTCTCTTCCCTTTCCCTAATGTTATCCTCCCCCTTCAAACCCACCGTACCAAACATACCCTTAATTAAAGAAAGGGTAAAGTGCATTAAACCCCCCTGAACTATGGGGGTTTTGCAACTAACCCTCCTGAACTTAAAAAAACCCCCCTGAACTTTCACTTTTTTGCAATTGGCCCACTTAGGCCACCGGAAAAGATAAAAGACAA